TGTATTAAAGGGGCGTGGCATTGGGAAGGTTGAGAACCACTGACTTAAGACTTACATACCACTTCATTATGCTTTACAGCCCGCTCTAAGTGGTTTATAAAGTCCACATATTTGCTCCCAACAATCTGGGTCCTCATTTTACCAACCTTGGAAGGATGGAAGGCTGAGTCAACCTTGAGCAGGTCAGGATCGAACTCCGAGCAGTAGGCAGAGTCAGCCTGCAATATCAATAGCACTTTAGAACTTATATACCGCTTCACAGTGTTTTTTACAGCTCTCTCTAAGTGGTTTATAAAGTCCACATATTTGCTCCCAACAATCTGGGTCCTCATTTTACCAACCTTGGAAGGATGGAAGGCTGAGTCGACCTTGAGCAGGTCAGGATCGAACTCCGAGCAGTAGGCAGAGTCAGCCTGCAATATCAATAGCACTTTAGAACTTATATACCGCTTCACAGTGTTTTTTACAGCTCTCTCTAAGTGGTTTATAAAGTCCACATATTTCCCCCCTGACAATCTGGGTCCTCATTTTACCAACCTTGGAAGGATGGAAGGCTGAGTCGACCTTGAGCAGGTCAGGATCGAACTCCGAGCAGTAGGCAGAGGCAGCATGCAATATCAATAGCACTTTAGAACTTATATACCGCTTTACAGTGTTTTTTACAGCTCTCTCTAAGTGGTTTACAGAGTCAGCATATTTCCCCCCTGACAATCTGGGTCCTCATTTTACTGACCTCAGAAGGATGAAAGGCTGAGTCAACCTTGAGCAGCTCAGAATCGAACTCCTGGCAGTGAGCGGTGAGTTAGCCCTGCAGTACTGTCCCCTAACTACTGCGCCACCACAGCTTTAAGAAACGGCTCCTGAAGATGGGCTCCAGGACAAGTCCAGAAGCTCAGAAGAAGACCAAACCTCCGGTCTCGGTGACCAACGCAGATTGCACCCTAGTCATAAATTGGACCTTCATATGCAGACCTGACCTTTCACAACCGAGCAGGAGCAGAAGAGCTCAAAGCGAAGCCTTGAACCTCCTCCTGCAATGAGGTCCACATCTGCTCACCTTCGGTTTCCTGCCGCCGTTTCTCCAACTCCAGTTCCGCAATTTCGCTCAAGAGGGTAATTCCGTGCAGAAAAGTGTGTTCTGGGGACAGGCTGGAAGATACCTCCAAGTTCACCACTGCCTCCTGAGGGACACCATCGCTGTTCATGAGCAAGGAGCACGCTTGGGGTAATTCAGCAGCTGCTGCTAATGCATTCATACCAGCCAAGGGGTCATCCATGTTGATGTCCAGAGATGGGATTGGGCAGGTATATATCTCATTCCTGTAGACGGGGGCTTCTAGCATGGGTTCCTCCTCTTCCTGAAGCATGCTGGGAAATTCTCTGTTTGGGGGAGATCTGATATGGGGCATTTCTACAGCCAATGGTGACTTCTCAGGCTGAGGAACCAACCCCATCTCAGGCTGTTCAGCATCTCTCTGTAACACACTCCCACCGTAGTCATGAATGGGGCATGTTTCACTGTCGTTGGTCTCTTCTGCTTGGGCTTCCATTTCCACTGAGCAGGACATCCCCGGATAGGCAGCTTGGCAATCCTCAAGAACTTCCTCATGGTCTGAACTCCGGAGGGCTTCGCCGTGGTGCAACTGAAGATCACAATCATTGGCGTCCTCCACAGGGAGGGCAACCGAGGTGGCCATCTCCAGGGCCTCCATATCGTGTTCGCAGATACCTTCCTCCTGGCTATTGTCCATCTCCATCTCCGTTTTCACCCGTTCTTCTAAGGATTCTTCTTCCTCCGCCGTCTGGATGGGTTTGACCATCTTGGATGGGGAAAGATGAATGGGCTTCACCTCTGGAGAAAGTGTCAAGCGCTCGGGACTCCTGGTGGGCAGAGGGACACTGGAGCCCAACTCATCTGCCTCAGATGCAGCCGTTGGCTGGAGAAGGTATGGATAGTGTCTTCTGAAGGAGTCTGGAAGAGACTGGAATGGATAGCCGGATGGAATTTCTGCAAGAGGGCACAAAATGGTGAAAATGTGGAAGATAAGTAAGTCCCATAATTTCTGAGTCCCTAACAACAGTGGTCTCCAGCTTTGTTGAGTGGAGGCGGGGGAAAGAGGGGATGATTCTGTGTGAGTGACAGGGGCACGCACAAGTGTGCAAACTCCATTTGTGCAAGCAGGTTTCCATCCCCCCGCCGCTCACACAAGTAGAGGAGAGAGAGAGAAAGAAAGAAAGAAAGAAGAAAGAGAGAGAAAGAGAGAGAGAGAGAGAAAGTGAAAGAGAAAGAGAAAGAGAGAGAGGAAGAGAGAAAGAAAGAGAAAGTGAGAGAAAGAGAGAGAAAGAGAAAGGAGAGAGAGAAAGAGAGAGAGAGAGAGAAAGTGAAAGAGAAAGAG